GGCAAAGGGGGTGGGGGGTGGGCACAAGGGGTGAAGGGAGACATGTATATGGTGATTGACAAACAAAAATGTACAACCAAAGTTTCACAATGTTATAAACTATTAAGACATCAATAAAAAATAATAATAATAATGTAGAAACTATAAAAATAGAGCAGACTTTATGGAGGACAGAATTAGTGAATTAGAAGATAGAAATATAGAAATGCTTCAGGTGGAGGAGGAGAGAGAACTAAGATTTTTAAAAAATGAAGAAATTCTTTGAGAAATATCCGACTCAATTCAGAAAAGTAATGTAAGGATTATAGGTATTCCAGAGGGAGAAGAAAGGGATAAAGGAGCAGAGAGCTTGTTCAAAGAAATAATAGCTGAGAACTTCCCAAACCTGGGGAAGAAACTGGACTTAACAGGTACATGAAGCTCTTAATTACATCAATGCAAAAAGATGTAATGCCTTCTCCAAGGCATATATTATTAAAACTGTCAAAAGTCTATGACAAAGAAAAAATATTAAGGGCAGCAAGGCAGAAGAAAATAACCTACAAAAGAACCCCTATCAGGCTTTCAGCGGATTTCTCAGCAGAAACCTTACAGGCTAGGAGAGAAGGAGACGATATATTCACATTACTGAAAGACAAAAACTTTCAGCCAAGAATACTCTATCCAGTGAAATTATCCTTCAGATTTGACGGAGAAATAAAAGCTTTTCCGGATAAACAAAAGCTGAAGGAGTTCATCACAACTAGACTTGCCTTATAAGAAATGATGAAGGGAGCCCTCCTACCGGAAACAAAAAGGCAAAGGTTTATAAAGCTTTGAGCAAGGAGATAAATAGACAGACAAAATCAGAAAATTGCAGCTCTCTATCAGAATAGGTTAGCAAACACTTAATTATAACATAAAAGATAAAGGGAAGTAAAGCATCAAAAATAACTATAAACACTTCAATTTAGTCACAAACTCACAACACAAAAAAGAATAATTTGTGACAATAACTCAGAAGGGAAAGAGGAAAGGGATGGAACCTGCTTAGGCTAAGAGAGGTAAGAGGCTATCAGAAAATGGACTATCTCATCTGTGAGATCTTTTATACAAAACTCATGGTAACCACTAAACAAAAACTCAGAGCAGAGCCACAAATCATAAATAAAGATAAAACTGAGAAAACCATCACAGAAAACCACCAAACTGAAATGGCAGTCAGAAATACATGGGAAAAGAAACAACGGAGATATAGAACAATGGAAAACAAGAGATAAAATGGCAGTGTTAAGCCGTCATATATCAATAATCACTCTAAATATAAATGGATTGAAATCTCCAATCAAAAGACACAGAGTGGCTGGCTGGATTAAAAACAAGACCCAACAATATGGTGCCTCCAAGAAACACATCTCAGCTCTAAAGACAAACATAGGCTCAGAATGAAGGAATGGAAGATAATACTCCAAGCAAATGGCAAGCAAGAGAAAGTGGGTGTTTCCATACTTATATCAGACAAAGCAGACTTCATGAGAGACAGAATGGGGCAGTATATAATGATAAAAGGGACATTCCACCAAGAGGACATAACACTTATGAATATATATGCACCTAACATAGGAGCATCAAAGTATATAAAGCAACTTTTAACAGACCTAAAGGGAGAAGTTGACAGCAACACAATAATAGTAGGGGACCTCAACACCCCACTTACATCAATGGATAGATCATCCAGACAGAAAGACAACAAGGAACCAGTGGCCTTAAATGAAACACTAGACCAGATGGACTTAATAGATATTTAGAGAATATGCCATCCAAAAACAGCAGAATACACATTATTCTCAAGTGCACATGGAACATTCTCAAAGTAGACCATATATTGGGAAACAAGACAACCCTCAATAAATTTAAGAAGATTGAAATCATATCAAGCATCTTTTCTGGCCACAATGCTACGAAACTAGAAATCAACTACAAGAAAAACCTGGGAAAGTCAAAAATATGTGGAGACTAAATAAAATGCTACTGAACAACCATTGGATGAATGAAGAAATCAAAGGAGAAATCAAAAAATACGTAAAGACAAGTGAAAATGAAAACACAACATACCAGCTCTTATGGGATGCAGCAAAAGTGGTACTAAGAGGGAAACTTATAGCAAACAGGCCTACCTCAACAAACAAGAAAAATATCAAATAAGTAATCTTAAACTATACCTAAAAGAACTAGAAAAAGAAGAACAAAGCCCAAAGTCAGCAGAAGGAGGGAAATAATAAAAATTAGAGAAGAAATAAATGAAATTAAAACCAAAGAAAACAGTAGGAAGGATCAATGAAACTAAGAGCTGGTTCTTTGAGAAGATAAACAAAATTGACAAACCCTTAGCCAGACTCACTAAAAAAAAGAGAGAGAAGGCTCAAATAAATAAAATTAAAAATGAAAGAGGATAAATTACAACAGATAGTACAGAAATACAAAGGATTATAAGAGAATACTATGAAAAACTATATGCCAACAAATTCGATAACCTAGAAGAAATGGATAAATTCTTAGACTAATACAACCTCCCAAAACTGCATCAAGAAGTAATAGAGAATCTGAATTGATCAATCACAAGTAAAGAGATTGAAACAGTAATCAAAAACCTCCCAAAAAACAAACATCCAGGACCGGATGGCTTCTCAAGAGAATTCTACCAGACATTCAAAGAAGATTTAATACCTATCCTTCTCAAACTATTCCAAAAAATTGAAGAAGACGGGATGCTTCCTAACTCATTCTATGAGGCCAACATTACCCTGATACCAAAACCAAAAACAACACAAAAAAGGAAAATTATAGGCTAATACCACTGATGAACATAGATGCAAAAATCCTCAGCAAAATATTAGCAAATCAAATACAGCAATACATTAAAAGAGTCATACACCATGATCAAGTGAGATTATACCAGGGATTCAGGGATGGTTCAACATCTGGAAATCAATCAATGTGATACACCACATTAACAAAATGAGGAATAAAAATCACATGATCATCTCAATAGACAAAGAGAAAGCATTTGACAAGATTCAACATCCATTTATGATAAAAACTCTCAATAAAATGGGCATAGAAGGAAAGTACCTCAACATAATAAAGGTCATATATGACAGACCCACGGCCAACATACTTAACGGTGAAAAACTGAAAGTCATCCCTCTGAGAACAGGAACAAGACAAGGGTGCCCACTCTTGCCACTCTTATTCAACATAGTACTGGAGGTTTTGGCCAGAGCAATTAGGCAAGAAAAAGAAATAAAAGGTATCTAAATTGGAAAGGAAGAAGTAAAACTCTTGATGTTTGCAGATGACATGATTCTATATGTAGGAAGCCCTAGAGAATCCATCAGAAAACTATTAGAAATAACCAACAACTACAGCAAAGTTGTAGGGTACAAAATCAACTTACAAAAATCAGTTGCATTTCTATACACTGATAATGAACGAATAAGAAGTCAAGAATACAACCTGGCTGCCTCTTTCTCCTGTGCCTACATGAATGGGGAGTGGGTGGGAAGCAGGAATCTTTCTCTGCACTCTTACCTCTTAGCCTGCCTCCATTGATAGGCTGCTGTTGTTACTTGGCGTAGACTCATGGAAGGGGTGGGGGGATTTGTCAGGGTTTTCTTGAGGTTTCGCAGTTCTCTTCATGCAGCCTCAGTCTTGGGCAGGCCTTGTGTGCCTGAGCCTCATGGGTGGGGCTTTCTCAGATGTTCTTGTGTCAGTGGAGGTCTTGATGGAATATCCTGGTTCTTTTCCACCTCTGTGCACCGAGCATGTTGGGACTGATTTGAACATTGTTAGGAAAGGACCCTCCAAAACTATTGGCGTTTCTTTGTTAAAACTTCAGCACCCTACAGAGTGATCTTTGAAGACTGTAGCTCTGACTCCATCCCCAGCTGAAAAGCCCTCTGGTGCACCTGGTGGCCCTCAGGTCAAAGGCTTTGAGTTCTGCAGTCTTGAGCCTCTCACCCTGGCCTTCCTTCAGTTAGTTAAGTCTTATCTGTCTCCCAAGCCCCAGACCATCAGTTTTGAGGGCAGATATCTTTTTCTCTGTGCATTGCTAGAGATGAAGTGGTGGCTGGCACATGGTAGGGGCCCAGCAACTGTCTTGAATGGATGAGGGATGAGTGCAAGCCCGGAAAGCCCTTACCACCCCTGCTTTCCAGCAGAGAGACTCCTGCCCAGCCTCCAGGTTCCTGCACAGATGTCACAGAGAAGCCTTTCTGGGGACTCCCCAAGTTTGGGGAGGGGCCTCTCTTCTGTGCATGTCAGTCCTGGCATAGATCTTGCAGTACTGGTATTTGTTTGTACCTCTGCTCCCTCCTCCTAGTTCCCCAGGGCAGGGACATGCCAGCCACGCCTGCCCTACCCAGCCCTGGGCAGACACATGGTGAGCCTACAAGGAGACCTTTGTGGCACCAGCGTGGCTGCCCTAGCTTTGGACTGATTCTGTATGTGCATGCCAAGTTAACATTTTTAAATCCTCTTTTCCTGTTTTAGGAAAAGTGAATCATCACATTCCCTTCCGTGGATAAGAGGACTTGGGCTGGAAGCATGTGGTGCGTCCTGCGAGGCTGGAGGCGACAGCGTGTAGGCCCATGGGGAGCCCTGGGACAGCAGTGGCCCCTGGGCATCCGTGCTCTGGCCAGTGCGGGCTCCCGGAGTAGGGACGAGTACAGCCATGTGGTGGTGGGTGCCGGCTCCGCGGGCTGTGTGCTGGCCAGACGGCTCACGGAGGACTCTGACAAGCGTGTGCTGCTGCTAGAGGCTGGGCCCAAGGACACGTATGCAGGGAGCAAGCGGCTCTTGTGGAAGATCCACATGCCCGCAGCCCTTGTGGCCAACCTGAGCGATGACAGGTACAACTGGTACTACCACACGGAGCCGCAGCCAGGCCTGGACGGCCGCGTGCTGTACTGGCCGCGCGGCCGGGTCTGGGGAGGCTCCTCATCCCTCAACGCCATGGTCTACATCCGCGGGCACGCTGAGGACTATGACCGCTGGCACCGAGAAGGTGCCGCAGGCTGGGACTATGCACACTGCCTGCCCTACTTCCGCAAGGCCCAGGGCCACGAGCTGGGTGCCAGCATGTACCGCGGCGGTGAAGGCCCGCTGCGTGTGTCCCGGGGCAAGACCAACCATCCGCTGCACCGGGCATTCCTGGAGGCAGCACAGCAGGCCGGCTACCCCCTCACCGAGGACATGAACGGCTTCCAGCAAGAAGGCTTCGGCTGGATGGACATGACCATCCACGAAGGTAGCATAAGGCCCCCATCCCCCACCTCTCTGGGTCCTGCTTTTTTTAAAGAAAGAGAACTACTGTCTATCACAGCCCCATCCCTCCTGCCCCCATCATGGTCAGCAAGTGTGGATAAACTCGCCAGGTATGAGGTGGAGGGGGTGGGACATATGGCACCCCCTACAGGCCACAGAATACAACCCAGAGCCAATGAAAAGTGCCTAGGAGTTGGCAACACCTTGGGCATTCTCTGGGCCTCTGGCCCCAGTTGGTGTGGATAATGGAGGGTCAGGTCTCTGAGCAAAGAGTCCAAAGTCCTCTTCGAGACTTATAGATGAGGAAACTGAGGCACAGAGCAGAGAAGGGCCTTGCTCACAGCAGGAGAGAGGCAAGGCCAGGGGGACCCAAGCCTCCTGCCTGCCTCCACAGGGTTCTCACCCCCTTTTATCAGCCGCTTCTGGTCTCTGTCATCCTGTCAAGGGTGAAGGCTATTTTTTCACCTGCATCCAGGGACCCCTAGGTATATGTGGGTTTCAGTTGGGCAGGGTCTTTTGGGCTCAGCCTTACTTTGAAGGCAGAGCTTGCACGGTCAGGGGAAGAACAAATTCCCTCTTGCTGCAGCGCCTTCCCTCTTTGCCCTGCACAGGTAGGTGCCGGGGGAATGGGCAGGGGCTGCGCCTGACACCCTTGCTCTGTCCTGCAGGCAAGCGCTGGAGCACGGCCTGCGCGTACCTGCACCCGGTGCTGAGCCGCCCAAACCTCACCGCTGAGGCCCAGACGTTTGTGAGCAAGGTGCTGTTTGAAGGCACCCGCGCAATGGGCGTGGAGTACATCAAGAATGGCCAGAGCCACAGGGTGAGCGAATTACGGCGGGGCCAGGCAGTTCACAGCAGGAAGGAGGTGGGCAGGGACCCCGGCAGTTGTGCTCGGTGTGGGCAGGAGTCATGCTCTCGTCCCCATCAGCACTGTGCCAAGGAGTGAGCAGCTGGTGGCAATGGCCTGAAAGACTGTCCCTAGGGCCTCGCAGGAGGCAGTGGCCTGTGGAGGTGAGGAAGCCCCCCGTCCAGCCACTGCAGAGAGCCTGTGGTGCCCTAGCTGTGAGTGAGTGCCCCCTGTGAGCCTCGTCTGCCCCTCCCTGCCTCAGAGCAGCCCCTCAGTGCCTTCCACACCTTTTCAGAAATTGATAGGTTTATACTAAGGCTTTAGAAACCATAAATGTGATCATACTCCATATTTCTGCACTGCACTGTTTCCCACCTAGCGGTGTGTGAGCATTGTTCTGCATCCCAGGTGAAGATCTGGCTCACTGCTTGCTTTATTTAAGCCTCTCTTGGAGTACCTTTTATCATTTTTTTCATTTAAGCTCTACAGTCTTGTTTTTTTAAGACCATCGTTACTGTCTGGGTGTTGCAGAGTGTATCAGAGTAAGAGCCACGCTTTAGTAATGACCGCATACCGTAGCTGCATGTGTGGGGTGCTTTCAGCAACATCAGCATGCACCCTGAGCATCCTCTTCCTCACTCTTGGGCCTGTGAGCAGGATCTCTGCCCACCACTTGGGTACGTCATGCCAAGGCCACATTCTGAGGGTTCTGTCTGGCTTTTCGGGAAGGGAAGTGTGACCTGCATGGCCCTCTGCCTCTTCCAGGCTTATGCCAGTGAGGAGGTGATTCTGAGTGGAGGCGCCATCAACTCGCCACAGCTGCTCATGCTCTCAGGCGTCGGCAATGCAGATGAGCTCAAGAAACTGGGCATCCCAGTGGTGTGCCACCTCCCTGGTGAGCCCCCTTTCCCACTGCTCCCCAGAGGGCGTCTATGCTAAATAAAATGGTTTATTGTATTGTATTAGCATGGAGTGGGGAGGGGACAGGAGTCAGTGCTCCTTGGAACTGTCACATTCTTCCCATGAGCCTGAAGTTCCCCTATGCCTCACTGGACAGTCCTGCCCCCTGGGGACCCCAAGTCTTCGTGCTATTTTCCTCTCTGCGCCAGCCATCCTATCTCATTGAGAGGCAAGGCCCCTCTAGCAGGGAGCATCTGCCCGTAAAGCCCGCTGGGCCAGGCTCGGGAGGGTCACCAGGGCAGCTCTATGGAGAGAGGGGTCCAGGCCTTTGTGTTTTCCATCCTCAGAACTCACCAGCTGCCCTGACGTTAAAGATGCCAACTCAGTGCTCCAGAGCATGCTTTTCATGTTAAGACAATTCTCCCAGGCCTAAAATTTTTTATAAACTGTCTTTGATGCCTTTCAGGGCCTGGCCCTGGCTCTCTTGCCGTCTGTTATAACCCGAGCTCCCGGAGGCCTGCGCCTTTTTGCACTGAGGCTTCATAAAAAGTCTTTGAAGGTGCTGTGAAGGTCTATGACAGTTACCTGCCCAGTGTCCCCTTGACCTTGGATGACCTCACGCAGCGTCTGCACAGCACAACGGGGCCTGCTTGCCTTCTTCCTCAGGCCAGGGGTGAGGGTGGGGCTGGCAGTCCATCTGCCGTCAGCCATTCAGCAACGGCTCCGCGAGCGGTGCCTGCTGCAGGCGGGGGCCCTGCCCTCATGGAGGGTGCTACTTAGCAGGAAGGCACCTGGATGGTTACAGGTGTTGTCCTGGAGTGACAAGGGCAGGTGGCTTTGGTGGCATCTAAGAGGGCCGGACTTGGTGGGGAGTGTGGGAATGGTGTCCCTGGGAAGTGACCTTTAAGCTGAGACCTGGGGAATGATCAGGCACTGGCCTGCCAGATAAGTGGATGGGGAGAAGTTTTCAAAACCAGGGGGATGTTGAGAGGCCAGCTAAGCCCCCTTTGGTAGCCATTTTTCCTCACCACTCCTTCCCGTTTCAGGAGTCGGCCAGAACCTGCAGGACCACCTGGAGATATACATCCAGCAGGCGTGCACCCACCCTATCACCCTCCACTCGGCACAGAAGCCCTGGAGAAAGGTCCGGATTGGTCTGGAGTGGCTCTGGAAGTTCACAGGTGGGCGTGCTCATCCATGACCGTGGTAGAGATGGTCTGTGGGTAGTGCAACCTTGTTCCTGAGGTGCAAAGCAAGGGCTCTGGCCCCAGGTTGCTGGTTCAAAGCTGAGCTTTGCTATTTACCTCAGCTCTTTGAGCCTCTGTTTTCTCATCTGCAAAAGGGGGAGACACAGTTCCTGCCTAACGGGCTGGTGTCAGGACCAGACGCAACAGCACAGCACCTGCCTGGGTCCTCAGGCGCTAGGTGCTGCTCTTCCTTAGAGATGGACAGTGATGGCCTTGTGCTGGACACCATCGGGGGTCCAAGGAGCCAGGAGAAAAGACACAGAAAGGCACTTGGTACTACACTGCAGATACAGCACCCATTGCTCAGCATTTTCCATTTGTTCTCAAGCTGAGTCTCAGAGTACTGAGTGTGGCCAGGAAATGGGGCTTTGAAATCCTGCTCACTCAGCATGTATTTCTCGCATACCTACTATGTGCTGTGCTAGATGGTGAGAAGTGCCGATAAGGCAGGTTCCCTCGGGGAGTTTTCACTTTAGTGGGGACAATGGAAAGAAATCAAGTAAACATGCTAAGTTTTAAGTACAGTGAAAGAAAGATCAGAATGCTAATTCAACTAGAGGATGGTGGCAGAGGATCTGAGAAGCAGGAAGGATATGTGCAAAGGCCCTGGGGCTAGGCATCTGGTGGGTTTGAAGAACTAATATGTTGGGCTGGGGAGACTGCAGCACATTGAGGAGGAAGCAGTAATGGGAGGTGGGATGGAAGAGGGCCTGAGCTGGATCATGAGGGCTGGTTGTGTGTGAAGGGTGGGCTGCAGGAGGCACAGCTAGGTGGGAGCACCAGCAAGGAGGCCACTGGAGCCACCAGGTAAGAGGTGATCTGGGCTTGGACCGAGGTAGGGGTGGTAATGCCAGGTAGATGGGTTCATGTCGATTTTGGAGCTGAAGTTGGTGAGACTTTCCGATGGGCCGCATGGTGGGTGATAAGGAAGAGGGAGGAGGCAGGGACAGCTTGAGTTTCTGACTTCAGCCTTGTGTGAAAGGAAGAGTCAGGGGGTGGAGCCTGGGCTGGGTGAGGGTCAGGATGCCCGTGGGACATCAGGTCTCGGAGATGAGTTGGCAGCAGTGGAGTCGAGGGAGAGGGCAAAGCTGAAGACCCTTGGCATGTAGCTGGTATCAAAAGCCGTGGTACTGGGTGAGCCCACCTCAGGCAGAGAGGACAGAGTCGAGGACTTGGGTCCAGGCCCCAGAATAGAGGCCAGGAAGAGGAGGAGGAGCTGCCCAGGAGAGAGGAGGCCGGCTTACCTGCCACACCCTGACTTGCTCTTCTGCCTCGTCTCCTTCTGATCCTCAGGGGATGGAGCCACGGCCCATCTGGAAACAGGTGGGTTCATCCGGAGCCAACCTGGGGTCCCCCATCCAGACATCCAGTTCCACTTCCTGCCATCCCAAGTGATCGACCATGGGCGGGTCCCCACCCAGCAGGAGGCCTACCAGGTGAGCAGATAGTCTCATCTTCTTGGCAGGCCACATTCTCCTGCTGCAGCAAGGCCTTCAGGGAGGGGGCCCAGAGCCTGTGCCTGAGTGGGGAGAGGAACGGGGGAGCCAGAGTGGAGTGAGGCAGTTGGCATGGTACCTGGAAAGGTGAGACTCGCTCCTAGCTCAGGGCATGTGCGCTAGGTCCTGAGCACAAGAAATGGACAAATGAGGCTGACTCTGCCCGGGGATTGCCAGCCCCTGAAAGTTTTGGACAATCAGGTATAAAGCTGGGAGACAGGAGTGATTCATTGAGGGGGTTTTTGATCACTTGTGGAAGGGTAGCGGGTAAGACGCAAATACTGAAATGGATCTGCTCTGAACTGACTTTGGATATAGAGTCCCATCCCTCAGGAAACCCAGGGCCTCTCAGTTGGGGGGCTGATGCAGGTCACTGCTTCTTCTGGGTTCTTCTAGGTGCATGTGGGGACCATGAGGGGCACGAGTGTGGGCTGGCTCAAACTGAGAAGTGCCAACCCCCAGGACCACCCTGTGATCCAGCCCAACTACCTGTCAACAGGTAATTCTCCAGTCACCTGTCTCCCCCAGGCCTGGGCTTGCTGGGCCATTGGTTGAGTGAAGGCCTTTATGGGGTTCATGTTTGTCCCTGACCACATTTTCTGAGATAGAGTCACTCTCTATCCTCCCTCTGCCCCATCATTCTAGCTGTAAACTTGCACATGCCGCTATGTGGTGGCCTGGGTCATCTGAAGTAACCCTGAGATGTCATTTTACACAATGGGGGAGATTTGAAGCTTTCAGAACAATCTACCAAGAGGTTCAAGGAGATGTGGCTGTGTACATACAGCTCACGGAGCGTTTTTCCTGCCATCACTGTGAGCATCCTCCAAAAGTGAATTGTATTCCCGGGCCTGCCTCTTTGTGTGCAGCAAAAATGAGCATGCCACAGTGCTGGCCCGGTGGTGCAAGTGGTTAAGTGGGCGTGCTCCGCTGCGGCGGCCCGGGGTTTGCAGGTTCGGATGCCAGGCGCGCACTGACGCACCACTTGGCAAGCCGTGCTGTGGCTGCGTCCCATATAAAGTAGAGGAAGATGGGCACGGATGTTAGCCCAGGGCCAATCTTCCGCAGCATAAAAAGAGGAGGATTGGCATCGGATGTTGGCTCAGGGCTGATCTTCTTCACAAAAAAAAATATATATATATATGAGCATGCCTTATCACATAGGTTGTGCCCAGCAGTGACTCATGGGGCACTCACGGCCACACTGTGGCAGAGGCAGGGCTTGTATTCTCATCCCCAGTTTACAGATAAAATTCAGATCCCCGATTTAAACCTGGGGCCTCTGGGGCAGGCTGTGTCCGTCCAGGATGGTGCCTGTTTGGGCTCCATGAGCCCCTGCTTGGTTGCAGTGTAACCATCTGTGGGTAGGTGACAAGCAACCTGGTGGCTCAGACCTCCATGTCCCTGAATTGTGTCCCCTGGGGCAGCTTGTTGAGCCTCTCCATTCTGAGAATCTTCCAGCAAGGCCAGCATCGTAAGAGGTGGAGTCTCACCTGTTTCTTTTCCTCGACAGAAACTGATATTGAGGACTTCCGTCGGTGTGTGAAGCTGACCAGAGAAATTTTTGCACAGAAAGCCCTGGCACCATTCCGGGGAAAAGAGCTCCAGCCAGGAAGCCACGTCCAGTCAGATAAAGAGATAGACGCCTTTGTGCGGGCGAAAGCGGACAGCGCCTACCACCCCTCGTGCACATGTAAGATGGGCCAGCCCTCCGATCCCACTGCTGTGGTGGATCCGCAGACCAGGGTGCTTGGAGTGGAAAACCTACGGGTGGTCGATGCCTCCATCATGCCCAGTGTCGTCAGCGGCAACCTGAATGCCCCCACCATCATGATCGCAGAGAAAGCAGCCGACATCATTAAGGGGCAGCCTGCACTCTGGGACAAGGATGTCCCCGTCTACAAGCCCAGGACCCTGGCCACCCAGCGTTGAGGCAGTCACTGCCTGAGAAGCCCCCTGACAGGCTAAGAGGGCCAGTAGAGCCCTTGCTCCAAATGCTCTTTCCTGAAACTATCTAGAACGTTAGGATTTGGTGGTTGAGAATTGGATAATTTCTTAAGAAATGAGACCAATAGTGCTGGTCAGTGAATCAGGTTCCTTTCTCCAGCATTTCCCTGTGGGCCCTTTGGGGAAGGCCAGTATTCTGGTTGCTGCTCCTCCTCCCTGCCTCCTGGAGGGATGGCAGAGGGGCGGGAGGCCAGCGGGGGAGGATGATTAACTCCTGCCATGTTCTTGTCTCGTGTTCATGGTGCTCTCCAACCCAGGGTCCTGCTGCCTTCCTGGATCCTGGTCGGACTCAAGGAAGGTGGTTCCTTCCCAGGCCTCCCTCTGAAGGCCAGCCCCTCACAGAGCAGGGGTGCTGTGCACCGAGGCTGGGTGCTGGCTAGACCTGCACTGGTTCTCCAAGGGGGGCGTCCTCCATCTCAGGCTGCAAGCTGTAGCTGAGGCCATGAGTCGCACAGTCAGCTCAGCGTGTGCAGAAGCCTCCAGCGTCCCTGTTCAGAGGGGAAAGCTGCCCGCTGGAAGAAACACAGCCTTCTCCTTTCTCTTCCGCTTCCCGATTTCACTCCCAGAGTGAGGCAGGAACTGGTGCTCAGTTGTGTCACCCTGAGGGCCTTGCAGCCCACCTTGCCGATGCTCTGGTTCTTATTAAACACGATCAGCCCAATGAGAGGATTTCTGGGCCTTGTTCAAGGAGAGAAGAGTCTGGAGGGACTCTTCGCTATCATAGATTTCACAATTTAGCATTTTGAAAGATTTTCTTGTTACCAGGAAACCTGGAAACCCAGAGCAAAGCCCACATACCAGACCGCCACTCCATGCCAAAGCAGCCAGCCCGAGAGGACGCTTTCCTCTCAGACTGGGGAAATGACTCAGCAGTGGACAAGGCTGGCTAATTCCTATTCTTCAGACGTCCGTGGGAACAGACCAGGGTGGAGCCGAGACTGACAGAGAAAGCAGTCAAGTAAAACTATGCACCCTGAGCCTGTGAAAATGTAGTTGAGTGAAAGAAAAATAAATTGGCAAAAGATTTGAGTTTTGCGGGAGAAAACAGTTACAAGTAGCATTTAAAACAGCTCTTGATCTTTAAACTTCTTATAATTCAATAATATAACCCAGTAACTTATTTTTGAACTGAGATGCCTTATCCAGACTGTTCTGACGAGGTAATGAAAACTAAATGCATTTTGTATTGATTTTTCTGAAGCCATCCAAAGCTACCATCTATGGCAGGGAAGCAAAGAATTGCTACGTGGGAACCTGCCAGGCTGGGCCCAGAATGAGGGTCAGCTTCACCCAGGATCAGAGTGGACTGAAGTGGCTTGGAGGCCTAACAGCCACAACTTATGTTTCTGAGGAAGACCTTCCAGGAAGGTGAAAAGAAGAAAACCATCACACCTCTCCTTCCTTTAAAAATTTTAAGCAACTCTTGTTTGATCTTACCTGTATCTTGCTTTATTTTCTATTCCAAGGGAGAGTCAAGAAAGAAAATTCTAAACTGCCAAGAGATTTATTTCTTCTAGAGAGGAAGAAACGCCCCACAGCCGTGGTCCACAGCCATCATCCTCTGGTTCCTGGAGCCGCCTGCAGGGGCAGAGGAACAGCAGACAAGTGCAGGTGCCAGCCCCACTCCTCTGAGGGCCAAGAAGTAACAAGTTAGGTGTGTGTGTGGGGGGGGGGGGGTCCCAGGCGACCGTGACTATGCTGACCTTCTCTGGTGTGGTATGGCAGGTGACACAGCCATTCAGCTCTGACATCTCTGTGTTCTCTGGTGTCCTCAGCCTCTGAGGCAATGGCTGATTTGCTACTGTGGCTGTAACGTAAGATAAGCAAAATGACATGCGATAGGAGGAGCCTGTCCCTGTTCGGCTTGATGACATCCAGGCCCGTCTCCCACTCTTGCTTACGGGGCCTTGTTCCATATGATCACATGATTTAGCCATGCACAGAAATAAGTTTCAAAAGAGAAGACCGTCAGTGTTATAGATCAGGACCCACAGAAGGTAAAATGGAAAACTGTGCTTTTGGGGTTCAGACATAGGACAGAATATTCTGATAAGAAGCAGTTCCTCACGAGCCCTGACAGGTGAGTGCGGTGGCCTTCTGAGCAGAGTGGAGCAGTGGCCCGTGCCATAACAAGGGGGCTGTCTGAAAGTCCCACCATCACGAGGGAACCTTCGACCTCAGAAAGAGGGCTGTTGGCTGAGGAAGCCATAGAGGGGAGCAAAGTGCCGACTCGAGTTGGGGAGGATGAGCCACAGTCAGGCGGCCCATGGGGAACACAGAGACCAGGCCAGCACTCGGCCTCTCAAGGAATCGGGCAGACTCCGTCATTTAAGCCCCTTAGCAAAAAGCTTGTGATACCTAAAAACCAGAAGAATGCATTTTTCAAAAAATGGTTGAAAAGGCATAACAGAAGGCTGTGCATGTACCTAGTGAACAGCTCTGAGGAGCACTGACCCCTCTGAAGAAGCCTGCGTTTAAGCTGCCCCATCAGCAGAAGGTTCTTCCTGGTAGAATAAGGGACAGAACATGCAGGTGTAGGTGCAGCCTGACTGCAGCGTGACCGGGAGATGGCGGGTCCCACAAGCAGCAGGTCTGGCGCCTTTACAGACAGCCTTTCTGCTTCAGGAACCACCATTTCCATAAATTCAAAAATAGATTCTTCTCTCCAGACAAACCACATTCCTCTGCCCAAAGGTTGTTTCATATTTCCACTGACCGACCTAACATCAGCTCTAATACCTAGATCCTTTTCTCTTAAAATTCAGAAAAACACTCACCCTCACCACTGGCCTTGTCTTGAGACCCAGGCAGTCTCCCATCTCACCTGCCATCATCCCACCCCTACAGGGTGTCCTCAAGACCACTCTCTCAGTTGTTCCCACGTTGGAAGCAAGGGCCCCAGGCCTGCTCCTCACTCTTGCCTGCTCTCCCAAATCCCCAGTAGAGGAGGAATATATTTTAGAAAAATAAAAACTTTTTCAACAAATTAAAGTGTAGCTGGAGTCCATTTCTTTTTTTTTGGTGCAGCAGATTGGCCCTGAGCTAACATCTGTTGCCGAGCTAACATCTCTTGCCAATATCTTCCTCTCTTTGCTTGAGGAAAATTGTCACTGAGCTAACATCTGTGCCAGTCTTCCTCTATTTTGTATGTATGTGGGATGCCACCACAGCATGGCCTGATGAGTGGCATGTAGGTCTGCACCCAGGATCCAAACCCACGAACCCCAGGTGGCCAAAGTGGAGCACGTGAACTTGACCACTATGCCATGGGGCTGGCCCCTGGAGTCCATTTTTGAGTTGGGTAGGCTCATAAAGAAGCCAGAGCTCTGTGCTTGATGACAGTTCTATCGCTAACCAACTTGCAGAACAAATCGACCACCCACCATAACAATAAGATCCTTTGTAGGAAAACAGGCAATTGGCAAAGTTAGTTACTTTAGACCATAAAAATCAAACATCAAATAAACTAAACTGCCCTGGTTTCTTTCACAAGCGTGGGGTCAGCAATAAAGTGGGTTCGTCAAGCAGGTAAAGCCTATACTGTGCACCGAGAAGCTTCCAGGGCCTCCACAACCTGCCCTTCCAGGCCTGGGGCTGATTCTGAAACATGTTGGACTAGAGCTGGGAAGCGCGACCTGGCCGAGCTGTCTGGATGGAAATCACAGAGACGGTTATTAACGAGGCTCTTGCTCGCTGATAGTTAAATCAGAGCTCCTACTTCCATTTTGTGATATTACGAGAAACACAAAATTAATGACGCTAAATGCACTGCTCCTGGGGACACAACAAAATAATGAATTTTTTTTTAGGAGGTGGGATGGGAGCCAAAAAGGAAAGACATTTAATCTTAAAACTTTTCTAAAACAAAGAAAAAATCATGCTCTACAACTTCAAATTTTTCTTACAAAGAAAAATTTAATGTTAGATGCGAGGTTGCAGCAGGCTTAAAGCAGACAGATATGAGGAGTGGTGCAGCTCGTAAAAATCCAGTTTTTAGGTACTGACTGGCAAAGATCATCGCCCATACCAGAAACTTCAGTCCTGGTCGGGTGATGCTGGACTGATGGTGTGAAGCCACACAGTAAGACCCACACCCAACGGAGAAACACAGTCCGAGATGAGGCGACAGTGGGTTAGCCCTTTAGGAGAAACAGTGCTCTCTGCAGCTGGTATGAAGTTACCATCAGCACCAAAGGAGCCAGGAAGGTAAGAAGAAATCTACATAATTACAGAACTGCCCTCAAGAGTGCCCGCCCCTTCTAAAGCTCTCACTAGCAAACACCAGCTCTTTGCAAGGAGAGCTCCCAAAGACAATAAAATTATTACACAGTTTTATTCTGAAGAACATGTTGCATTTTAATAAAAAAGAATTTATGTCAGGAAAGAGTCATTTACAAACCTTGAAGTGTTTTTGCTTGGATCTGGAGTAAGAATGTCTTAAGAAGAGGTCTGTAAGGTCTTGATAACAAAGTGTTGTTATTTACAAAAAAAAAAAAATTAACACGTTGTCTATGTAACATTTAAAAATTTTGAACCCAAAATTGCTACCTGTCTTTTTGACTGCAGGGAATCCCTGCCAAGGTACCTTGATAAAGTCGGCATAATTCTGTGAACAGAAAAGGAAGCCTTGACAAGTCTAATGATCCAAAAGTGGGGTTTCCATCGGGAAGTACAATCAGCATGTGAGTGCATTCTAATGAAAACTTCAGCCCTCATTCAATTGCATATAAAAGCCCTCAGAGAGAACACACAGTACAGCAAATGTTTTATAAAAAGGCAGCAATACGATTTGTACAGACCCCGACATTCTAATCCTGCAGATCTTCACTTTGCTCCCTCCGTCCCCCCGCCCCTTCTCCAGCACTCCTAGTCCCCAGGGGATAAGAGCAAAGGGACTTCGTTCATCTTTGCGATGGTTTCTGTACCAGAAATGCAAAAATGTCCTGTGGGGGCAGCTGAGAAAACCAGAACTGTGAATGCCATAGGGTCAGAGCAACCAGCTTGACCTCCTTTGTCATGAACTTTTCAGAGGGTTAGCAGGGGAAAAAAGACAGTTGCAACCCATGGTGGATCAAAAGGTACAATATCAAATCATAGAACTTGCACCCAAAGACAAGACCGCGAAGAGTCATCTGGTATACCTTGTGTAAAGATAGGCTCATAGTGACTCAAAATATTTTAGAAAAATCTCTGTAGTGTCAAGTTCTTTTGAACTTAAAATTGTACCCCCAAAAGATTTTCACTGACTAAATGAGAATTGGCTCTATTTCTTCTACTTCTGGATAGCCCAAGTAAAAATACTAATAATTTCTAGATTTCAGTGGGGAACTACAATTATTAGGACCCATGGATATTGCTGCAGTTCAAATACGGTACAATAATTACAAAATATAGACCATCTCTTTACAAATACAAATTATAGTATATTACAAGTCATGTACAGTAAATCTATAATTTTTAAACAAACTAGCGTATCTAAGTTTACCTGGTTGCGAGTGCATTATTATTCCAGTTTACAATTGCCCTTAGCCTGACGGTCAGACACTGACCGTCGGAGCGATGCTCTCTCATGTAAACTGGCGTCACGTAACAGAAGGGTTCTGCTCCCTTTCAGGATGACGGCTGGTAGGTAGCTCCTGACTTACACACTGTATTTCAGAACAGCTAAACAGGAACCAGGAAGCAGTGTATTTTGGGGGAAAGGGTGTAAAAATGGATATGCTGGGCCCAGTGAATGTCTGATATGCTAGACCGATGGCTGAGGTAATGACACAGGTATGGTGATCGTCATCACCTGTAACCTTCCCCACCGTGCTTGCAGGCAGGTGGGCGTGGGTGAGTGCCCCAGGTGCGCTCTGGACGAGCGGGCGGGGCTCGTCCGACCTCCTCGCAGGTCCTCTCCGAGAGGGCTGAACCTGCCCTTTCCCGCAGCTGGGGCTGGACACGTGTGCACGGCTGTTCCCTACCAGGTTTATGGCTTCCTTGAGGCATGACATCACTTGTACAAAAGTCTAATTGAACATGGACTCCACACTAGTGCCTAAACTTTCCTAACTACGAGGCACTTTTTCCCTGGCCCTCCGGCGCCCCACCTGAGGCCAGAGTCAGTCCGCCCCTCCTGGGGGCTACAGGGTAGTGATGCATATCATTTCATCTGCCAGGTCCTCCTCATCTCTCCCGGGGTCCGGCTCTTCGTCACTGTAGCCCGGCCCGAAGTCCTGGAGCTCATAGTCCTGCCGGTGTGCGCCGGAGCCCACGTCCCCATTGGCCCGGGGATGCACGTTCCCGTTAAGCAGGTTGCTGGCTGCACTCTCCATCTCGTCGATGGTTAGGTCACAGGCATCGGCGATTTCGTGTTTTGTCGCCGACACGAACTTTGGGTCCCTTGCATACCGTCCTAAGCCTTCGGATATCAGGACCTGTACAGGAAAGAGGATCAATGGTATGAATGCGTGATAAGGCTTTGGTAGGGGAAAAATGACAGAAAAACCACCTCGAGCACTAACTGCATGATGGGCTTTTGGGACTCAGCCAATCAGGTTTGCTAGACCTTGTACATAACTACACGTAAATGTAAATGGCTTTGGCTTTGAAAATGTCATGGAGCTCAAAAACTACACATGGCCCAACAAGAGTGAAACCCATTGGGGAAAAATGTTTTAGTATAAACCGGTAAAATTTGCAGGAACAGCACCCATAATCCTAGGCACAGCTGATTCATGAGACTTGGCAGTGGTGGTGTTTTATATTCGAACTTTAAGTACCATCCTTGCTTCTAACAAGTGGGCAGAGTCCAGATTCAAAGTGACGCCCCCTGGCTCTGGAGCCCACCCACCTGCAGAACCACCACCCAGTCCTCCTGAGCGAGGTTCTCCACAGTTCCACCTCTGCTGTGCCTGGAGCCTGCCCTCCTGTGGCATACTCAGTGAGCTGTACTCACGGCCTCCACCAAGCTGTCTGCGCTCCTCTGCTTGTCACTGTTTTTGTTGCGGAAGCTGCTGGGGACAGTCAGGCTGGCTGGTGTGAAAGTCCGATAGGAGATGCCAGGCTCATCCGTGTACCATGAGCTGCGGTGCAGGGATGGCAGGCTGCCGTTGACCTGGTCCAGGGCCTCCGACCGCTCGACCTGGATCAGGGGGGTGTAGCACAGCGTCCAGTCCCGGTATGGGGGGGTCGCTGGAGGGGTGGCCCATGACCTGGTTGAGTGGCTCGGCGAGTACTTCTGGGCTTTAGTTGAATCTAGGCCTGCAACTGCCATGATCTGAGGAGAAAGGGCAAGGTGGGAGACCAGAGGTCCTCAGAGGTCCAGGCCTCAGGCCCCCTCAGAACAGACCAAGTGTGAGGCACTGTTTCACAGGGGCAGCCTCAGACGAGGACTTGAAAAGGACATGAGCACAGTGAGTAAATTAGATGAATTGGCAGTAAAAATTTGGCTTTCTAGCAGACTGTATTTTCTTTTTCCCCAAATCCATAATGTATTTCCAAAGACTGTTCCCCAGTAGGAAACAGTTGCTAATTCATGAAATTGCTTTAGAACGTTAAAGACTCAGGGAAGATGTACAAGCTGTGGTATATGAACATACCACCCAGTTCACTCTGGGTTTAAATACAAAAGTACTTTCAGGGCAAACTAGCGATCCTCAGCACTGGTAGGGAACACAGCTGGTTCTCTTCACTAGAGCAACTCGTCACATGGCCAGCATTTGGTCTGTTCTGAAGCTCTGGGCACAGCCCTGCTCCTTCCACCTACAGCTGCACCATGGTAGGTCTGCCCTGGCATCCCACTGCACAGAGGGACACTGAGGCCCGGTCTTGTGAACAGCACAGGCCCGTGGCCAAGTCGGGAGCCACGACCTCCCGAGGAGGCAGTGCAGACAGGCAGATCTGGGCCTCGTTGGGGCAGAGCAGCAGAAAGAAGACCGTCTTCAGGCTCGTGCCTGTGTAGACTGCCAAGGCTGCTTGGTTCATGGTATCTGATGGCCTGGACCTTCCCTAGGGTTGTCCTTCTTCCATGATAAAGCAGGACACAAGTAAAAATTAACGTAAAAACCGAAGGCAGAGAAGTAAAACATTCGCAGAGAGATGTGAGCAGAAAATCTGAAATGTGGTTAGTGCAAGCTAAGGACGCTCACGGTAAGAAACCAGCTGGGAGAGCTGGCTCGGCAGATTTACAGGCTGGGGGCCCTGTAGGATGGAGCTCTCCCTGCCTCCCCCCCGCCACCAACACATACACAAGTGGACAGATCTCTGACGTGCTCTCTTCAGAAAGAAAAAGCACCCTATCTTGTCCTTGAGGCAAAGCCCTGGTGAGTGGGCTCCAGTCTGCACTCCCTCCTGTCCAGCCGCCCTCGCTGTGTACGGGTCCTTCTCCCTGGACCAGACTGCCATTGCAGGCAGAGGGGAGGTCCACCCACCCTCGTGACCATGGGGCCCTGCCTCGAGACAGCTCCATAAACATGTTCTAATGAAGGAATGGCCTCTCAGAGCAGGTAAGGGGCAGCGCTGATTGTTCAGGGTCAGCTGAGTGGTCCCAGGTGGTCTTCAGTGCTGGAGGGATGTGGGGGAGAAGACTGTGGACTGAGGCTGAGAGCCAGCTCTGGAAGCTGGCAGCCTTGGATTCAAATGCCAACTTGGTCACTCACCTCCTGTGTGAGCTTGAGCATGTCACCTGCCCTCTCTGATGTCTGCTTATCCATAAAATGGGGCTCATGATAGTATCTATTGTTGTTACAGGATTGAACCCGAGGGTATGTGAAGGTTCTTTCCTTCCCTTCTAGTGCTGGCAGCCAGGGGAAGGCGGTGTCCTGAGGGTGGGTCCCATGCAGGGTGCCCCTCGGGCACTGGGGGAAAGGTCAGGTGGGCCAGCTCACCTGTTGCTGCATCAGGTGCAGAGGCAGGGCCGTGCGGTGGGGGAAGGCGGGGGATGGCGGGACCTCCTCCTGGCTGCTCTGCCTGCGCAGGCACTCGAAGTTGAAGGAGGACCTCCGGTGGGCTGAGGAGTTAAAGCACATGGTGTGGTTGTTAAAGAAGTTCTCTGTCAGGACTCTGGGGCTCTGGGAGCCAGGGCGGTCCACTGGACATTCAGCAGGGACCCCAGGAGGAAGCAAGTGGTACGTCCAAGAAAAAGCATTTGGTAGTGAGATCTCAGAGCTTTGGAAGGGAGGATGAAAAAGAAACCCAACTGAGGGATGTTTTTAAAAAGTGCAAGCTGGTTTCTTGTAAATGCCGTGCCTCTTCACAAGGGGAGGAGCTGAAGGCATCCAGAGGGCAGCTGTTCTGACGTGAAGCCCCCGGCCCTACATTCCCGGCCCCGGGAAAGCAGCATTTCAGGTCAAGTACAAGCTGTCATTCTAGAATCCCACAGGCACTTGCTGACTGCCCCGTTCTCACCTTGGGGGCCGCGGTATCTTGCTGGTGCTCCCGTGTTCACACCCATCTTAAAGGGAGTACCTTGCTAGCTGCCCTATCAGCTCAACCAGGTAACAAGCAAATTCTCTCGTTGGGAAAGACCCAGCTTCTCTAGCACCAAAGACAAAACCAACAAAAAAGAACACTTCTAACTTTAAAGAACGTAGCTGTCCTGTTAACAGCCACTCTGGATAGAAGCTTATACACAGGCTGAATCATGACAAGAGATTCAGAGCTTGGGGCTTCACGGGGCACCAGGCCCAGGAGGTCAGCCTGGATTCTGGGTCCCCAGGCACAGACCAGAGGCCTCCCCGTGGAAACACCTCCACCCTCACAGGTGCTGGCACGGTGGGTGGAAGCTGCTCTGGGAGCCTTGCCGATAGTTTGCAACGGGGTGGCCAACTCACTCCAACAGCTCCTTTCTTGACCTCTGCTTTCTAAGCTCACAGAGCATTTCTCATGCCCCAGCAAAACTCCACACACCCCTAATTCCTGTATTGGAAAACTGCAGGGACCAGCCTTGGGGGAGATCTCCCAGGTATCCTGGGGCTGCACATGAAGCTGCAGAAACTGGGTTCTGTTTTAGAGGGCCCTGCTCTAAAAGTGCACGAAGACCAGGCTGAGCCCTTGGCAGGCCACTGCTCAAGGGAGAGGAACAAGACAGACAACCAGTCCTCGTCTGGCAGGCCCCACGCGCACTGTGGGGCGTGCTGGGGCCTCCTCGAGTTGCCTATATAGGACACAGCCGTCAGACAGCCAACCTCCGTCCCCCACACAGGGGCCGAATTCAACAGTGCACTAAGGAGGATGGGCTTCTCTTGTCCGCACAACCTCTAGGACCCTCCTAGGATCAGATGGCAGGGGCCAGGGGCTCAGAGCCAGAAAAGGAAAAGCACCACCCCTCTCACTCAGGTGGTGCCTATCAGTTTTGAAAATGGGTCCACGTACAGCTATCATCTTGTTTGCTCTGCACAACCATCTCTGATGGAGGAAGTAATCACACTGTAGCTGAGAACACAGGCCGAGGAGTTCCACGTTCTCCCTGCCCAAGGTCTGAACTCATGGGCAGCAAAGCAAATAAAATACATTTTATTTGCTCTTACAAATAAAGAGGGCAGCCGCTCTTGCCCGCTCAGATCCCTCGCTTCACTAGGGTGGCGCACGTGGATGGTGGGCATTAACACTGCCACCAAAGAGAGTGAAGGGAGGTGTGAGGAGGGCAGTGGAACTCACATGAGCAAGGGGCATCCGCCCGGCCTCACCTGCACATGCGTCATCCGGTATTTATGGAGACAGAATTGCTGTGTTTAGCAGCATGTGTTTGGGGCTGTGAAATTAAATATTAACTATGGAAATAGGTCTGATTACACTCCCTTCCCAGCAGGGTTGTGACAGCTGGAGAGAGGCAGAGGGCCCTGGGCGCCACCCAACCACATTCATTATTGTGCATGTAGTCAGCAGACTCGGAGCCGACCTGTCTTGGCTATTTTTGGTTACTGATTAGAGTCCTGCTCAATCCTGGGTTGAGCTTCATTCCTCAGAAACACCAGAAATGGACATTCTTTAACCACCATCAAGATGCCCACATGTCCAAAATCACGCTGCCCAGCCAGGAGCGGCTGCATTTCTTTTTGCAGCCTGAGTTCCTCCCTCAAGGTGACCCAGATCTCCTGGGGGCGCCAGTTACGCCACCTGCACAAGAAAACCAGGTAGGGGAGCATCCAGCCTCTGCTCCTTCTCAGCAGGATGGGATGCCCCGGCCCGAGGATGGGAGCACCCACCCTAGAGGTCATCACCAAGGCCAAAACCTGCCCCACAAGCAAAGGGCACTGGCAGACCCAAGGCAAAGATGAGAGAGGAGGGGGGAAAGGTGAAAAAGGAGGAGAACTCCCCAGGTGCGGACTGAGGAGAGATGGACACCACAAGTTTCAGGTGCCCCTCAGAGACGTGGGCCTTGTAAGATAGGCCTGGGCTCATCCCTTCCCCACAGAGGGTCAGTTACCCCATCCACCCGAGGGGGCCTGACAACAACATGGTGCACGTCTTCCTACCTCTCAGGATGGATCCCAGGCTCAGAGGCAATGATAACATGCACAAAACATGCCTCTTATCAGATGCTACGTACTGGGCAACTTTAGGGCCACACACTGCCTTTCTCTGTTCTCAAAGAGAGTCAAGAACAGCGCTGAAGTGGCTCAGGCTCTCCCACGTGGGATACGGATAAGATAAAGGGAAGATGATAGGATCTCCAACCAGGCGGCTGGTCTTAAGGACTAAAGGTTCCTGACATGGCAGGACCACATCTGTCACATTCTCCAAGGCTGGGGTTGGGGGAGAGGCACGCTGTTCTCTGGGAGGCTTCACCCAAAACAAAAAATCTGGCCTCACATGTTGGGGTGGGAGGTAGTAGGCGTCTCCTTGGAGATCTCCGGGAATCGTAGCAAACGGGTGAGTCATCGTCCTCTAAGAAGCCTTGGGGGTGATGGTAGCCTCGAGGCCGCTCGAAGTCCAAGTTGCTGCCTGGATATCGGTTGTAGTAGCCATAGTTTTGCCTGGTGGTCAGGAAGCCCAAAGAGAGTAAGGGGCCCATGAGAGCCTAGTGAACAAGGCCTGTCCCTTAGCTCTAACAGACCCACATCTACAGTCCTCTCCCCACCTCCTTGGACACAGTAGACTAGCTGAGAATAAGGCAGTCCTCAGCTTCATGGAGGATTCTAGATGGAGGGCACAGGCCATTACAGGAAAGTTCAGGACGGCAGGCCTACGATGAGTGAGGTGCTGGTGGTTTCCCTCCCTGGGCAGCCTCAGACCCGGGTCAGATGTGATTGCAGGTGCCCTGCAAGCCTGACTCTCACCCGCTCACCTCTTCCTTGAGAACCCCTCTCCTGATGCCTGTCCCTGGCCAGGTGCTGGGCTGGGCAACAGGACACAAAGATGCATGAAGCACACCACCCCTCCCCCACTCAAGGAGCTTAGCAGATACCACACACACACAGACATCCAATGCAAGCTGAAGAAGGTCTGCGCCAGGAAAGAGGAGTTCAGGGTGGGTTCCGTGAGCTTTGGGGAGGGGGAACATTTCAGTTCCAGTCAGGGAATGAGAAGCAAGTCCCTGCACCAGGCTCTTGAAGAGAGGGTAGAATCAGGCCAGCAGAGATGGGGAAAGGGGTCCAAGTGGTGGCCATGGTGTGACGGAGGCCCAGAAGGAGGAAACTCAGAATCCATTTGGCTCAGAATCAGTGGTTCCGGAAGTGAGGCGTTATAGGAGGCTAATGGAGGAACTGGTGGAGAGCAGGGTGAGGGGGGGCAGGCTGCGGCTGGCCTGGAATATGAGGCTGGCCTGGAATATGAGGCTAACGTCTACTAATAGCTCAGGTGCCAGAGGTGACCTCACTGCAGTACCACATCCACTTCAATGGGCCACCTGGGCATGGTGAGATGCAGTTTATAGAGGAGAGGGTGGCAGACGATCTTTGTCCCCTGCACCGCCTGCTACGTGTCCCAAAGCAAATTACCCCTTTTAACTTCAAACATTCTTTCTTCAGCACAGTAGCCTGGAGAGGCACCTCTGCTGAGAGATGCCACTCTGACCTCTTGTCTTCTCATCTCCAGGAGGGACCTCTCGATGGGAGTGGGCAACAGGTGCTGTTCATTAGGACCCCATGCAAGCTGCGGGCTGGCCAAGCTGCCATGCAGATGAGCCCCCAGCCCAGAGCGCTCAGCGTTAATGAAACAAAATAGGATCTCTCAGAAGACAGGGACTGATGGAAAGGGGTAACCCGCCATGAGGCAGGCCCAGCTCTCACTTCCGGAGCCTCTACTAACAGCCTCACAGGCCCCTGGCAGAAAGAGTGACTGGGTCTAAAGAACAGCCTCCAATTTGCCTCTCTCTGGCCCTGTTTCTCCAGCTCTGACTTGTCCTGTGGCCTGGAGTCTGTGCTCCTGTCTTGCTCTCCAGGACAGTCCTGGGAGCAGCCGCAGGGGCCCACGGTCTCATGAGCGAGCAGAGCACAAGGGGCAGGAGAGGCGAGGCCCCCAAGGTCGGCCCAGCTGCAGAGCCCTCACCTACTCCAGGTTGGCGAGCTGTCATCCTCGTAGTACTCCTCACCACTGAAATACTCCTGCTCCCCCCAGCAGCGGGGGTCCCGGAAGTAGCCGTGAATCTCTGGGTCTTCCTGGCAGATAGTTGGGAACTGCTCATCTCCTGAGTCAGACCTGCAGTTAGGAGAGAGGACCTGAGCGCCTGGGTAGGCAGCAGATAATTCCTGCGGCCATGCCTCAGCCTATGGCCAGCACCCCTGCCCGAGGTGCTCCTGGTCTCTCCCAGGATGCACCTGCCTCACGTGGGACTGGACTCCTAAGGCCTCTGGCAACGGCGGGGGGTGAGTGTGTGTGTGTCTGTGTGTGTGTGTGTACATGCACACGCCAGGAAGGCATTTCTCTCTCAGCACCCCGCACAATGCTGGTGCCAAACCACTATGCCCAGAGGCCTCAGAACCAAAGGAGTAGGTGTAATTTGGGGAACAGAGCAAGAAAACAGACCTAGAGACCTGCAGTGATCGGCAGCCCTGGGGAAATGATGCTGGACTCCCAGGCCATCCACTCTGATCCCTGCTCCTTCCTACCATGGCCCAGGGTGACATCGGAGCCTCGAACACAGAGGCTCCCTCACCACCAACTTCCCACTGCGTCCAACCCAGGAAGTGCGACGGGAGTTTAAGATACAGTGTCACAGAGGAGACTCTCCTGGACAATGTCTGCCAAATTTTCAAAGACTGCCCTGCCCCGGGACTGCCGTAATATCTCCCTGAACACCAGCCAGGCTCTGGGACATCACATCTCTCCAAAGAGAGGACAGTTTTTCCTCCAAGTTCTTCAATCTCTCGCCTGCCCTCCTCTGGCTCAAGTTGCTCCCGATTTCATGTGATATAATTAAACGAGGAGACCTATCCTCCCCGTCGCCAACAAAACAACCATCCCACACATTATTCAACCCAGTTCAACAAACAGGGGGCAGGATACACTGCATGTGTGTTGAGCGCTGCAGGGGAGACCAAGGAGAAGACCTGGCCCCTGGTCTTGAGGAGACTGGGGTCATGCTTTTATGAAGCCCCCACAAGAGGCTTTGACCGCAGAGAGCAGCAGGCAGTGCCCAGGCCCAGGCATCTGGAAGTGCACAGTGGGCTCTCCCAGCACTGTTGTGAGGCCTGCAGGGGCTGGCTAGTGGACATGCTGGCATGTGAATCTCAGTCCTTGGGTGGTAACCGTCTACACAGATATGGATCGGAAAGCTCCTTGGCTTAGAAATCAAAACAACTACCTCCGACTCCTGAGTCCACAGCCCTGAGCTCTAACATCCTAGTTGGCTCAAAGGAATTTCTCATCTCAGCATTGAGAGAGGCTAGCTGGTCACACTTATAACACGCAGTATTTAACACATGAACACAGGCAATGAGCACATACCTAATGTAAGTTTCATAATAGCGGGTTCTATCCAGGAAAAGCATAACATGGGAGGGAAGGAGAAGATACAAGTTAAATATTTCCAACAACATTTAAAATGCAGATATCAGGCTACTTCCTAGAGCAGAGGTCAGCAAAGTATGGTTCACAGGCCAAATATGGGCTGCTACCTGTTTTTGTGTGGCCCACAAGCTACAAACTGTTTTTATACTTTTAAAGGACTGAAAAAAAATCAAAGGAAGAAAAATATTTTATCACACGTGACTATATGAAGTTCACATTTCGGTGTCCATAAATAAAGTTTTATTGGGACACACCTAAGCGTTTGCATATTATCTACGTTGCTTTCTCCCTACAATGGCACAGTTGAGTAGCTGCGATAGAGACTTGATGGTGCTAGAAGCCTGAAATATTTATCTGGCCCTTTACAGAAAAAGCGTGCCAACTCCCGTCCCAAAGTACGTTAGCACAATTGGGGAGGGCAGAGTTTGCAGCAGCTGCTGCCATTTTAAGAGGCATCCCACATAGCGCGATACAGGACAGCAGGCGGCCCTTTATCCTTGAGGTTCATCACGTGGCTAGTGCCTGAAGAGGCCGTGACATCGTGGAGCTCACAGGTTCTAATGCAAATACCCACTGGGAATCTCCTGCACGTGCCAGAGCATGGGGAGAAGGAACCGCCTTGGGCAGACACTACGTTACCAAGTGCAAACACATTTTAAAGGTTACCTTTTAATACTGGACCTTCTTTGAGGCTCACGGTCATGCTTGTGGGAGGAATGATGCCCATTTTCAGACACATGCTCAAGGTTCCCAATGCTGGGCCGCTTTCCAGGGGCAGCTTTGGACATATTGGCATTATTGAGATTGGCATTTGTTGAGCTGGGAACTTGCTTTCCTATGGAATTATGGTTATGATGGTTATGACACACCGAATTTCCTGCTGGAGGAAACAGCGGTTTCTCAGTATCACTTGCAGGTGGAATTGAAGGCCTTTGGACATGCAGGGGACGGTGGGTGGTATTGGTCTGCTGAAGGGAATCTCTCCTATCACTATTAACATGATTGACATGGTTTCCAAGCAGGGCACCATTTCTCTGCAAAATAATGGGAGACAACACCAGGTAATTTAACAAGTATTTGATGCAGGCTAGCTATGTTAGGTAATTTTTTTCTACATGAAATACAAATTCTAGGTAAGCTCCATAGGATCTCTGTAGAACAATCTGAGTGTCTCAACGATTGGGGTGAATGCATCTGTGTGGCAGCTGGTCCCCACTGAAATGAGGAAGGTTACCGATTTCTGAGCTGGGGAGCAAGCTCTCAGCTGTCACTCGAGTGTGTTCTTCCAGTCGCTCCAAGTTGAGGTGACTTATACCCAGCAGGGCTGGTTGGCAGCCCCAGCGGTTGAGGTTGGGAGTAGGCAAGCTCTCTGGGCTGGGGAGCTGGGGGATTGAGGGTCGGCTGGCAGATCAAAGAGCTGGCCCAGGGAAGAAGGGGGTGGTTCCGGCAGGCAGCTGCTAGAAGGACCCAGGATGGTCATCCACACCGGCCAGTGGCTGTGGCCAAGCTCCTCTGAAGCTGCCAGTGTGGGGCAGAGGAGCAAGCTCAGGGAAGGAGCAGGCCCGGCCCTAGAAGAGGTGCTGTTGAATGGGGAGGCCCTGCTGGGGGGAGGGCATGGTCCGCAAGCCCCTCTATGCCCTGGAGCTTGTTTGCGTTCTCCGGGCTCTTTTGTGGCTCATGAACTACCCAAACTGGAGTCCTGCCCCACTATTTCCAGGTGGCCAGTGTGTAGCTAGGCGTGGAATAATTACTTTGAATACATCTTCTTCTTCTTCTCGTTTTGTTTCCTCGGGCTCATCATCTTGCAAATCACATGATATAGCACGCCGGATTTCGGGCCCAATGTCATGCAGTGTCCTTAATCCCGCCTAGATCAATGAAAATGGCAAAACAGATTAGACAACACGAGTGCCCTGGGCCTGGCCTGGGTCCTGGCTTTGCTCCTGCCTGATTCAGCGGTGGGAGGGGAAGGTTTCTCCAAAGGACAGCCCAGGGAACCGACTGCTTGTTGAATGGAACTGAAGGAGTCCCTGCAGCCTCAGGGTTGTAGGGTGTGGCCAGAAGTTCAAGATAAGCCTAGCATGGGGTGCTTGAGGCCCTTAACCCAGTAACCTCCTTTTCCAATACCCCACTTGCAGGGAACAGTGCCTGGTACTAGGGTCTGCCGTGGCCAAGAGCCCATGCCCATGTCTAAATGTCAGTCTACGGAACAGTGGCCTGCAGAGCGCCATCTCCCGGAGCCCCAGACAGGGCAAGGAGCACAGCCTGGCTATTTTACAGGGACGGTGGCAAGGACTCGCTGGCTGTGTCCAGGATGAGGAAGGCTACGTGCAATTGCCACAGTGCAAGCAGACCAAGCAGCCATCAGGGCCACTGGTTCTGCTAAGAAGCCATGGGAATGAGGGAGTGACACACACACTGCAACCACCAGCACACTCACAACCATGACAGATGGACTGACACACACACAAACCTGGGCTGCTGTGCAGTGCCAGCCTCTGAGGCCATCCACGGTGCCCTGGCCCACAGCCTGTGCTCAGGTTGAGAACGTGCCAACAGTCAGGTCATCCTCTTGAAGACCACAACACGTTGAAAGGGGCTCACCAGCCTCTGGAGGCAGTGTGAGACTGCCTCCAGTCTCCAGGTGCCCCCTCCAGGCCCCTCACAGACATTCTGCATTTCCCTGAGGCCCTCACAGAGGCCTTCCTCACCCTGGGCCTGGCTCCACTGGGACACGGCCTGGAAGAAACCCTTCTGTTGTTCCCGACTTCATTAGGGAAACATTCGAGATGCTTACGGACTATATATGGGGAAGGTGCAGCTGCTGACTCCGAGAAAATTGATGTTTTGACCATCAATTTGAAGAAAAACAGCATGCTGACTTAAAGACTAACAGGGGCAGTATAGCTACCTTATCCTTTTCCACAAAAAGACTTGCATCTGAAAGAGGCCTTTCCTCCCTGCCCCCAGGTCTAAGGCCACCCGTCCTGTGGCAGGGCAGCACTCCCCCATTTGCTGGCAGTCTGTCAGCAACTCAGAGCCACTAAAGGCTTGGAAAATGTGTGAGACTCTGGCTGTGCAGGTCTCCATCCGCAGCTACTCCAACATCAGGGTGGTCTGCAGAGGAGAAGTGGGCCAAGTGGGGGGTCATCAGGGGAGGGGACCACTTTCCTGTCTTTCCTCCACAACCCCCAGCAGCAGGTGGGCATAGGACATAGACAAAGCATGATGACTGAGACATGCCCAGCAGTGGCGAGGGGCGGGAGGTGAAGTGATGGTGGCCACAGTCTGGCCAGATCCAGCAGGGCTAGCCCACTGGTGTGGGAATGCTCAGACTGGTCTTCCGCAGAAGCTAGTGGTGATGATGTTCATTTAGAATGTGAAGTCATATGGGAACTTCCCAAGAGGCTCTTGTGAAAATGGCCTCATCCATAATAGCACCCAGCCTATGAGATGGTCCTGTTAAAAAGGGCACACCAGGGGGCCGGCCCAGTGGCGCAAGTGGTTAAGTGTGCGTGCTCCGCTGCCGCGGCATGGGGTTCCCGGGCCCGGATCCCAGGCGCGCACCGACACACTGCTTGGCAAGTGTGGCGGCGTCCCACATAAAGTGGAGGATTATGGGCACAGATGTTAGCCCAGGGCCAGTCTTCCTCAGCAGAAAAAAGAGGAGGATTGGCAGATGTTAGCACAGGGCTGGTCTCCTCACACACACACAAAAAAATGGCACACCAGGCTGGGTCTGGTCTGAACCATTCTTTGAATAGAGGAGCAGCAGGTCTTTCCATTTCATGAATTACAGAGGTGAAAGAGCTGCATGGAGTCAAGTTTTAAGTTTCCTGGCTAGGAATGCTGTGGTCTTGCAGGGGAAAGACACAGGTCCCAGAGCCAAACCCAGAACAGTTCATGGTGTGGTCAGTGCACGCATACATATGTACACACACACGTACGTGCAGACACACGTTTTTCCTCTCTCAGGATCCCCAAGTCCAACACATCTGAGCCTGGGGAACCATCTGGCTTGGAGGCAGACCCAACTTGCCATTCTTTTTTTTTTTTTTTTTTCTGTGAGGAAGATCAGCCCTGAGCTAATATCCGTGCTAATCCTCCTCTTTTTGCTGAGGAAGACCAGCTCTGAGCTAACATCTATTGCC